TGCTGAGCAGGTGCCTGGTGCCAGGTGGTACCTGCGAGCTGTGCCGGTGAGCGGCTGTGCTGAGCAGGTGCCTGGTGCCAGGTGGTACCAAAACGGCCTACTGAATGAACATGCTTCCAACCATTCATCTTAAGATGAATTAAACGATTTAAGAACTCAGAAATATTTTGTTGTTTTAACCCCAAGGCCATCTGTTTAACTTCAGGAAACAATTAGCATAATGAGCGGCTGGCTGGTACATATAGCTCCACAGCCATACAAAACGCATACAAAAAATAAAGGAAACTACTGGCTGAGAGCCTGATCGAGGACAAGGCTCTAGTAACAGAATTATTTTATTCCTACCCCCTAGGTAAAAACCTAGAAATGCCTCTCTTCTTAATGATCCTGTTGTGTTTTTCTTCTTGAAAAATCATTACACTTCTGCCTTACTCTTCTAAGTTAAGGTGAAGCACTCAATCTTCAGCGTTTCCTTGCTTATCTGTGATTCCCTCTTGACAGCTGAAGTAATTCCTCAGCAGGCTCGAATCTCCCTAACCTCCTCAGATGCTAGGCTGTCTTTATGAAATTCATCATCAGTTGTTTCTTACCAATCTAGAATAACTTACACTGGAAAGGAATAATTATACAGAAAAGGACACTTCAACATAGAGCCATTCCAACATAAAAAGAAGAACTGAAGCTTCAGTAAAACACTACTTGGTAACATTTGAGGGCTGGACCTAGTGCTACTGTCATCTTTTTGTTTTACTAACAAGTAAACTTACAGTAAGCCATAAGAGCTGAAGGAGAAACCAGTGGTCTAGAAAGGGTTGCGCCCTACCTGCTAAGTCTTCTGCCTAGTGGGCTGGGGTTGGACAGAAAGTTCATGGATGAACGTGGGGATGAAGGAATAAATGGACAAATGAACTTGTACGAATTCTTCCAAATGATGGCCACCGAGGTCACTGGTGGCAGGGCCAGGGCCACAGCCCAGTTCGCCGCCGCCTCCTTCCTTGGCAGCTGCTCAGGGGGATTCAGCAGTTACAGCTTCATGAGCAGTTCAGTAGCTAGCAGCAGAGCAGGAATCTTCCTAAAATAACTGACTGACCTTAGTTGTGTTTTTTAAAATTTCGTTCTGCTTTTAGACATGCAAACAAAAGAGGAGAATGAAAAGTGCCAAGTGGGATGACATAAGAAAATTACACTGCAGCCGGATCGCACATAGAGAATGACAGAAAAAGGGTAGGCAGAGATGGCTCTGTGATTTTCTTCTCACTCTCACCTGATCTAAGAGATATAAAAGGTACAAAGTTAGCATGCATTAGCTGTCAGATCAACAACATTCTATTAGAGACACAGGCTTCTCTAACAATGCAGTTATTTTATAACTTCAGGCCTGGCACAGGCAACAACTGGGGGATGAGTGGAGCAAGGGCTCACGCCTCGGGGCGGGGGGACGACGACAACACTCACTCTTCCAGGAAGTGCTGCTGGGGTCCGATGATGGAGCCCGGCCGGCAGATCCTGATCCAGGCAATGATCTCAGCGTGTGTAAACCTGTAGTGCTTCATCACGTAACAGGCGATCAACGTCCCCGTCCTTCCCAGACCAGCTGCAAGACAGGGAACACAGTAGCCAGTGCACCCGCAGGAGCGCTGAACTGCACCTTGTGCCCCAAGCGCTGTGTGTACAAGTTACGGCACCCAGGTGTGCATGTGTGAGACCCATGTGGGCACAGGGAAGCTACCGCGTATGTGGAGGCAAAGCGATGCGAGGCAGCAGATGGGCTGAGACACAGAGGACAGAGGCTGGAAGGAGGGGGACTCGGGCAGGAACACTGGGAAGGCAGAAGACGAACATGACCAGAGGGGGAGCTGTGCTGGAGAGACGCCCTAACCAGGTCACCAGGACAGTCACCAGGGGCTGAAGGTTCTGACCGAGGAAAGCGACGAAATTTTGATTTCATCCATGAAAACACTTAGAAAAGGAAATAGGGAAAAGCTGACGGCTTTACTTTTGATGTTTAATACTCTTTTTTTGAGGGGCCCTTCTGACAGACTTCCCTGATCAAATATAAAAAGACTCTTGTTTCCCAGTATCTTGAAATTTACAGTATTTTAGCAAACCTGAGACACCATCCTATCAACTTGAGGTGTAATGAACGGAATTATTCAAGTTCATGTAAGTAAAACAAAAAAAAATAGGACAAGCCATCAATTTTTAAATCTCCATTTCAGAAATTTTTAAAATCAATTTTTATTGGTATATATTTGCCATACATAATCGTCACTGTCACGGAGAATCTGTACCTGTGCATAACGTCTCAATTCTTTTTTTCCCATTTGCCTGCCGTCTCCTCAGCCCTTCTTCCCTCCCCATTTACGGAAACTCGGTTTCGCCTCTCCCTTCCCCCTTCCTCGCCGTCCCTTTCCTCACCTTCCCTCCCCCCCCCCCCCCCCCCCGGGCCTCCTCTGTCACCCTCCCTGTAAGCACCTTCCTCCTCCTTCCCAATCCCAGCTGTTCTGCTCCTTATTTGCCCTCCAGGCTTCTGAAATGTTACAGCGTGGAAAACGAATGCTCTCGCGGCAACGCAGCGCAGCCTCTTACATTACTGCCCCACACGCCTTGTTAAGCATTTTGTCCTAACCGCCCCCATGACATTCACTGTCACAGATCCACTGTGCATCTGTGTATGTGCTACATGTAAGTCTGTGCTTTCCACAGAGGAAGACTAAGGTTTTCACACACACAAAAGGAAACAGTGCCCCTTTGGGAGCCTTTCAGTTTAAGAACCGCCTCAAAAGTGAAAAAGAAATGACAGTCACGCTCGTGACTCTAGACACCTGGCATTTCCTTCCCTACGCTCTTCCTTTAAAAGACAAAAACACATACACAAAGTTTTATTACATGAGGAGTATGTGTGTGCGCACCCTGTTTTCGTGGGAAGCGCCTTTCCCCCCAGATTAAACACAACGTTCTTTAAAAAGAAAAGTTTACAAAGGTCTCAGCGGGGCTTGTCCTTCAACATGAAGAGGTACGAGCAAGCCGTCCGTCTGTCTTGCCCACAGCCTGCCGCTGCCAATTCCCCAGGTACCCACAAGGCTATGGCTAATCTGCAGATAAAGCACAGATGAGCGCCCTGGGGCAGGGCCGGGGCCACCAAGCAGCACTGGAGCGCAGCTGGCCTTCCTGGCGCCAGAGGACGCGTACTCTCGGCGCCCCCTCCTGGCGCAAGCAGCTTGTGGCGCCCTCAGGGAGGCTCCCAGTCCTCACACCCAGAGAGGTGGTGCAGAGAATTTTCACATTTTTCTGAAATTATGTTGCTTCCCCCTTTTAAAGAGCCTATAATTTAGATCTATAAAAAGAACCTACTTAGCACTCAATAGTTAGCAGCTCTCACCACAAATGAGCAGGATAGGAACACTTCACTAAGTTTCTATAAAAACTAAAAAAAAAAAAAAGTTAAAGCATTCATAATTAAAGGGCTCCTTGGCACAGCATGACAAGAGGTTGAAAGTGTTCTATTTCTACCAAGTCAAATTCCAGTTACTTTAGAGTTCCAGCCACTTTCTGAAATCTCTTTTGCATGCCAGATTATCAGTGCTGCTACCCCGGAGACTATTACTGGGAGCACAGAGTTTTGAAATTTATAGCCATTCTTTCCGCCAGCCACACAGTGGACAGCAGACTCTATGGTAGGGTTTCACACATCCCGGCAGATCGCGCTTCTCATTTGTCTCAGTGCATAATACTTCACAGGTTGAGACACGACAGCTCCATTCTCTTTCCTTATGCTACTGAAGTTCATCGGAAACAAGATAAGATTCACACTCCCTCTTCCTTCTAGTTCCATGAAGATCCTGAGTGCAGCTTGCATTCCCAGAAAATTAAACTGACTTAATTAGGGCAGATGTCAAAATAATTAACAGACCTACAGCAGCTTAAGTGTGCTATTAAGAGCAACGTGGCTGTAATTAAGCCAGAGGTGCCATCCTTGTAAGAGAATTGCAGGGCTGTACGGTGGCAGCGAAAGAACAGCGCTCTCAAGGGATGAAGCGTGGCCTTCCTGCACAAGCACTTACCTCTATGCTCAAAGCTCTGTCCCTAAACACAAGGGTCGTGCCAGGCTATTAACAGCAATATAAATTCCACAGGCTTGCTCGTGAGGAGCCCTGTCCAGCCAGAGGCTGAGGTTTACTGAAGCGGACCACACACTGCAGTCTGACGGATTAAACCACACAACCTGCTGGGCATAAAACCCCTGACCAAGAAGGCCACGTTAATCCCAGAAAAAGCAGATTTTCTACAGTGAGGGGAAGCTGCAGCTGGGAACCACCTAAGCGACCATAGCCGCTGTCTTTCCCTCTTTCTGGGCTGTGAACTGCAGGCCTAGGGCCAGGCATCTAATGAAGTGGGATGGAAAAGCAAAGGCGGTGCGAATGGGGTGCCTTCAGGCGGGGGTGTGGGAGTGAGGGGGTGGGGCACCGCAGTGGGGGGCCGCTTGGGCGCCTGGGGAGGCAGCTTCCCGCCCAGCGCCTCCGCCCACTCAGATCTTACACACTGGCAGCCGGCCTCCAGCTCAGGTCTGACTCCTGGGGGCACCGCTCGGCCCTCCAGGCGCCTGCCAGTCCTGGGCAGAGCCCTGCGCGCAGGGCACCCAGCGGCTCCCAGCGGCTCCCAGCCAACTGCGCCCCCAGGGTCGGGAAACCAAACGCTCTCCAGCAGGGGGACCCGGCGGGACGCGCCTGGCCGAACCCCCTGTCGTGGAAGGCCTTCGTGTCTGCTGCCAGCTTGCAACAGTCACACCTCCGTCCCCGGCAGAGCCTAACAAGTGTGCACCCTGGACTCCCCGCAGGCGTCTTTCAATTCACATCCAAGCCAGCGAGCTGAGCTGGCCGACAACCCGAGCAGGGGCGGGGGCCTGGGTGCAGACCCGGGGGGTCACGGGGACCTAGGACGGGCAGGTGCGCGCTGGAAGCGAGGGGGCAGGGCGTCCAATCCGTGGGGGAGGCATCGCCCCCAGGTCTGGCAGGGCTCATGTCGGTGGCCACCGCCCCACTGACGCCCGGGCTGCGCAGCACCCCGTGGGAAGGGGGCTCGCCTCCAGGCGTGCTACGCGGGGCCTCCTGCTTCCTGCCAGGCCAGCTGGCCGCTGGCTCCGGGCGGGTCCCCACCGGGAGCCGGACCTCAGCCTGCACACACCTTTGCAGTGGACTGCGATGGCCCCCTCGGTGTTCTCGCAGATGTTCAGGAACCTTCGCACGATGTTGTCGCTCGGCGTGCTGCCGTCTATGAAGAAGAGGTCATAGTGCTCAAAGCCAGCGTCCGTGAAGCGCTTCGCCTCGTAGATCTTCTTGTTCAGTCTCACAATCGCAGTCACATTATGCTTTTTGAAATAAGGAAAGTAGGCTTCGGGGGCGTGAAGCGGGTAACCTAAAGGGAAAAGGTACACATTTCGTCTTACATAACCCAGGATCACGAAACCCTCAACCACAAAGCGTGCAGATCTCACAAGAGTTTAGGGTGTTTCACCAGAGTGCAAAGGTCACGGCAAGAGCGACGAGCATCAGTCTGTGCAGCTGGAAACTCCGGAGCGGGTTAAACCAAATCCGGGGGTGGCTCGGGGCACTAACATGTGCACAACAGACCTGAGACTGTGATTTTATTCCCTGCGAGTATTGCTCTTCTCTTAACAAACACATTTCTGCTAAGGTTAGCTTTGCCAATAGTTTTATCATACAGTGATATAATCCCCAGCAAAACAGGTTTCAGGATTATTAAACACAATGTACAAAGCACAATGTATACAAGTCCTCTTTTAATTCTTTAAAAAAAACTTGTTAATGGCTAACCCCATTTAACAGATTAAGAAACTAAAAGTTAAGGAGATGATGGGCAAAGGATACAAAAATTCAGTTACACAAGAGGGGCAGATCCAAGAGACCTCCCGCACATCATGACCACAGTTACTAACGATGCGCTACATATGTGAAAGTCACAAAAGGAGAAGATTTTAAGGGTTTTAAGTGTGCTTATCACAAAACATGGAAATGTGGGAAGTAACACATGCTAAACCTGATGTAGCCAGTCAATAATGTGTATATATTTTAAAACATGTGGTACACCATAAACATGTAATGTCAACATAAAATAATTTTTTAAAAAACTGAAAAAATAACTTTAAATACATTTTGCTAATGCTTATTAACTCTACAAAATAACGGATTTAGTGTGGCACTTTGAAATACGTATGCAACGTATTTTGATCTACCTTCCATCTACCCTTCTTTCTATCCCCTCCTTCCAATTCTTATTCTCTTTCTCTGCTCTCTGATGGACACAAGAACTTTCTGATGGGCATTTTCTCTTTGGGAGGAAGGTGCTCACCCCAGGGCGGTGCCTGTCTCCATGCTGCCCACGGGCAGATGAGACACAGGCCTGGGTTTGGCCAATCAGCTCGGGCGGCCAGCAGGCCACTATAGACCTCTCCCAGCGGCACCAAGGGGTAAGGGGCTCATTTCTCAACACACTGGCTCCCACGCCTGTAACCAACACTGATCCTGGCACACCAGGACTTTGTGTGTGACGGCAGCCTGTGAAGTGACCACGAGTTTCCATACTGTTCGTGGTTGCGCTACCTCCTGCCTTGAACACTGCTCTGGGCGGGTAGTTTCTTACTGTCCCTCGGCTCCAGCCAACCTTCTTATACCCTGCTTGGTGACAGTGGCCCTGGGGTCCACATGCTGCTTTTCCTCGGGTAACTTCCTTGCTGCCTGCCTTCCTGTTAACAGCTGGAAGGCACCGTGTGGCAGAAGTGAGGCCCTCCTCCTGTTCGTCAGCAGCATGCAGCCACAGAACACAGTAGCACCCAGGTCCCAGCCAAGCGGGCGCCGCAGGCAGCCTGCTGCACCTACCTCAGGCCCTGAGCCCACACCCAACCCCAGCCCTCAAGGCTCCACAGCGACAAGGCACCCCTCAGGAGGGCTCAGCACCAGCCACCCTTGCCCTCCCTGTGCTCGCACCTCTCCTACCTCCCTTGTCCCTTCTGTCTCCCCAGCCCTGGGGCACCACCTTTCCATATTCTGGATTCTTTGGCACTACCTTCTTACTTAGTCTTCTCTGTAGCAAGCTCCTTGCATGAAATTCCCTGACCCTGGTATGGCTGCCAGTTTGCCAGATTCACCTCACAGGCTGTGAGTTACCCAAAACAGTCCACTGAATGACTTTTTGGTTTAATTTATCAGAGTTCATTTGACCACCTGCAAGCAAAACCCCCAGCCGGTAGATGTGGCCAAGGTGACACACAGTCAGGCCACATTGGAAGGCAGGACTAACTAATCCCAGGCAAGTACACGACTTCCATGGCCAGGCTTTCTGAGCACACGGGCACCACGGAAGCCAACATATGTGGAAACTTGCACACACAGAGAAGACACATGCTCTTTCACTTGCGAAGATCAAGTCTGCTCTCCTTATTTGCTCAAACTATTTCCTGACAGTAAATCTATAACCTCAGGGGAAAGCCAAACCCTGGCCCTCTGATTCTGTGGTCTGTGCTGCAGCTGATGTCAAGGAGGCTCAACTCGCCTCCACTTATTAGGCCTCCAAAGCAGACAGCGAGATGTGACGGCAGGGGCTGTACTTCCTCAAGTTGGTGAGTGAGTTTCTTTTAATCCCTAAAACTGATACCAATTTATTATTTAAAAAACTAAAAACACACAACCCCTTGTCAGCAACTCTTTGCGGGTGCCCTCAATATATCTGGACATGTTTTGTGGGAGGCTGGCGTCCACAGCAGGTGCAGGGCCGCCCCGAGGAACACTCATCTCTCCCCTGCTGCCTCGGGCACTAGACGGTGCTCTGGCTCCAGTGAGGTCCTGCGCTGACCCCACAGAATCAACTCCAGAACTAAAGAGATTTCCAAATTCATCACTTCCTACCTCATTTTAAAGTCAGGAAACTGAAGGACAGCAGGGTTAATTGATTAGTCCACCTCGCTGGTATTAAAGAAAAACCTGCAAAACTGCCAAGCAAAAGTAGAAAGACAAAAAATATGTTAAGCTCACTAACACAAGCACAACAGTGCTGCCCACCGAGTGTGTGCCAAGGGCCCGTGCTGTCCAGGCCCGTGATGGATTCTCCCTACTGCGCACCAGGAGGCATGCAACGTGCGCTATCCACCCCCATGACACAGGAAACCTGTGATGAGAGGGGCCTGGAGTCCGTGGAAGCTCACGCTGCAGCAAGGAAGGGACAAGGAGCCGGACTTCCTCCTGCCCGGGAGCTGTCCCCGGGCCTCCCGTAAAGGGCTGCCAGTGCCACAGATCACTGGGCTTCTGCCTCAGCCTATCAACACTCCTCACCCCAGCCACGTCACCCATGTGGGCGTACGTGTGAAGCCAGGCATGCTGACAACACCTGCGACTCCAGCACTTGGAGGCTGAGGCCAAAGGATGACAAGCCTGGACTATTTAGCAAAGCTCCGTCTTCAGTACAAATTGTAACAATGGCTGTGAAGGAGCTCAGGGCAGAGGTTCTGCACTGTACCTCAGTACCACACCCACGCATACGCACACACGTGCACACAGATATGAGAATGACACTTCCAGTTAGAAGATTTTTAAAAATCTGAAGTCCAAACTCTACTGCCATCACTATTCATCAATTCAAAATCAGCTAAGAAGCAGGCTCTCCATTCCCCACTGTCAACACTATGTGAGCGACCCTCCTACTTGTTCTCTGTTTGCACAAACACACCTGAATTCTCCCCTAACCCATTCTGCCACAATTAAGGCCTGCCTCCTGCCACACCCAAGTGTCAGCTGCTTGATCGTTAGTTCCTGAAAAATCTTAGCTCTCCTACTAACAAACCACTAAAGTGACTTACAGCTTCCTCAGGAAACAGTTTCTCAATATCTAAAAAAAAAAAAAGTCTACCAAGATTTCACTATAATTGAATAAAAATTGTTAATTCTAATACAAACTTAGTTTAAATTCACAAAGTACTTACAAAGCTAAAGACCACTTTTTAAAAAAGATGACATTACCAGCAAATATCAGATCCTAAAAAGGGGTTTCCAGTAAAGCATAAACATAAATGGACCCCTGTTAGGCATCCTAACAGCCTAAGCACACAGAACTTTGGGATCTTTCTTTCTCAATATGCAAGGGCACAGTTTATACAAAGAAAGAAATGCACATGCACAGTGGGAGCATCTCAGCACCAGTTCCTTTGTGGCTTGTTATCGGTATTGCTTAATTTCTGCAGCAAGCATGAACCAACTAGTGCTACGCATGCGCCTGCACAGCGCCTCGCACCTGAGGGTGAGCTGGGCCCAGAGAACTCCTCTCGGCGCCTCCTTGTCCACGGAACAACAGCCACGGAGTCCGCGAGGACAGTAAGTGGAGGGTGCGCACACAGAGCCTGAGCTCCACCCGGCCCACGAGCAGCCACAGCTCCGCTCCACATGGCAAAGTGCGATCACAAACAATTCTAGGATTCTTACGATTAAGAATCACGCTAATCCCCCAGCATGAGAAATGATAATACAAAATACCCTTCCACTTGGTGATTCTATTTCTAAGAATTTAGAAACTAGACCTGCAAGAAAAACGACTACGTAGGCCAACCACAGCAGGTTTTAAAAAGTAAAAAACTGTAAGCACCTTATATCTCATTCAGAAATAAATCACCAAAATTATAGCCTGTCATTCAATAGAAGAATAAACACCACAGTCCTGGAATCTGACAGCACGGATCTACATGTACTGCCACGGCGAGAAGTCTGCTGTGCCAAGCACAAGGGGCTGGCAGGGAGGTAAGCCGTCTGCTTGACCCCACCGTGCGAAGAAAACCTCACGTGTAGGCGGACACACGCAACGTCCATACACAGGGACAGAATTACGAGAAGGCTGTGCACACGCTCATGCACACACACACACACACACACACACACACACGGAGAAGCAAACGGGAGAAACCACGTGCCAAAGATCCTACCTTCCACTAGAAGACTCGGCACAATGACTGGTATGCTCTTTTTACTAGCCCATCAGCACTTTCTTTTTTTGTTGTTTTTAAGAATGTTATCTGTATAAAAATATTTAAATGACTTTTAAAATGATTCTTCTCATGTTCTCTGTCAGAAGACTTGGTAGGTTCTTTCAACTCTGCCAAATTGATACCCAATAACAAAGTCACAATTGAGAAAATACACCTAAGATTTCCAGGGCCCAGATCAGATCACTTGGCAGGTTGGCTTAATCAATTGTGTCCCAAAAGATCAGCTGTTAAAAGCAGTTTCCTCAGAAACTCCCCGTTATATCTAATGACCCAACATGACAGAGATAAATTAATGTCCAAAACAGAAAGAAATGTATTCCCAAACTCTTGCCTAGGAAGAGCTGACCCTGGCTTCTGTATTGCTTAATTT